CAGATTGCTGAGTAAAAAACGAATCCTGATTAACACCTCTCACAGACAATTAATTCTTTCAAGACAGGCATCTTTAAGCACTGCAGACAAACAACAAGTGCATATTTACTCATTCTTTTTAACATAAAATATACTATTAATTTTAAGTTTACTAAACAGTCAGAAAAATGGAGTTGTAGTCTTTCATTCTGCTAAGCCCAGGATATTCTATTAGGAAGTAAATAGAATATCCTGGGCTTAGCAGAATTGCAGAATAAAAGACAATGCAATAAGACTCAGCACCACCTAGAGTTGGGCTAGCAGAATTTTTGTGGCATTAGTGCATGAGAAAGAAAAACCTTTTCAAAGACATATTAACAGTAATTATAAATATATGGCCACCAGACATTATATGCAGAAAATAAGCGCAAGTGAGGAAATATATGCAAATGCAGAATAGAATAAATGCAAATGTAATTTTATTACATAGTATTTCTTTCTATGATTCTGTTATATGTTACTTCCCTTTTTGTTATTTTTCATGTATTTTCTCCTTAATGGTTTTCTTCACTCCACAATTTGGTCTTGGTGACTTTTTTTAATGGTAGCTGCTATAATTTAGGCATTTTTTTTTTTTTTTTTTTTTTTTCTGAATTAGCCATTTTTACTTTTGGCCCAGTCCTTCTTCCTAAAACTACCTGACAGACACCATTGTGAACATTTTCCATGTCTTTCACCTCCTTTTGGCTGTAGGCAGGTTCCCGCCAACGGACAGTCTCTTGACATTGGCTATTGCCCAGTGACATTGTTTCCCCCATCCTATGTCACACGACAAGTTGGAGGGCATTGAAAAGCGCAAGGGGGAAATACAACCCTTTTTCGAGTTTCCTCATCACCAGAGAAGACAGCATTGCTACAGGTCTGATTTTTATAATATTTCTCTAAAAGTTTTTTCTTGGTCTTAGCAAGACCCATACTGTTTGTTGTTTTATTTATTTTTTCCTTTTTCATTTAAATTTAATTTCTGGTTTGTTTGTAAAGTTTTAATTCTTTAAGCTTGTAGGTCCAGCCCATACATTATTGTATATTTTGACTAATAGCATACCGCTATTTATTTATTTTTATTTTCATTATTGCTGTACATCGGAATTGCATTTACATTTTTTTACATCTTAATGTGTCAATACATGCGGACGCGTCAGGAAATTGGAACAGAGAATTGAGACTAAAAAAAATTATTTTAGATAGTTTATTTAATTAATTAAAAAATTTTGTAGCGCAAAGTTTCAATTGTCTGTTTCGGCGAAACGTGCAATGGGGTTAGCTTGGTTTGATGCTCATTTAGAAATTACCCTTGAAAAGAAAAAATGGACCTCGAATTGGGCTAATTAATCATTTTCCGCTTTTTAAGTTTAATATATTTTTTGCCTTTTACCTTGTTCAATCAATTAGTATTTTACTGTGTTTTTTAATTTACTTTTTATTTCGCATATAGCCTATTATTTTACCTCATTCAATTGATTTGTTTTTTATACTGTGTTAAAATTTCCGAAAATGTTTAGCATATAGCTTTTATTAATCAAACTTGTAAATATACAAATTTTTTCCATTTTCACACTTTTCATAACTACTGAATATGCTTATGTTGGAGTTTTCTTGGAGCCACAGCTTTTGGTAACTTTTTGGATTAATTTTACTAAAATTTATCTTCTCATTTCCTTAATTTTGCAGCACAATGCGCAAAAAATTTTGACCAAAAGTGGTCTTTTTAGTATTGTTCTTACAACTTTTCTTATAATATATATATATACATATATGTGTAATATAGTATATATCTTACATATATATATAAGATAAAATTATATGAATCAGAATTATAATATAACTATAAACATTAATTCTTCCTCTCTATTCTAAAATCGTAATAACTTCTCTGCATTGCGTCATTTCTAGATCACTCTATGGCCCACGCAGCTCTGATGACGTAATAATTGTAAACCAAAACTTTTTTTCTTTGCCGTGCTTCCATCTTTCATAACTACGCACTTCAGCTTTTGCTCTCTACTGTGTTAAGATGTAATTTTTGCTGCCTTGCTTTCTATCTCAACAATATCAAAAAATGGTAAATCTTCTGTGGAATAGGCACGAACTAGAAGTGCCAAGTGATTGTGGTCACAAATATCAGTTGCCAATAAAAATGGAATTAAAACTGCCTCGACTGCCAAGTTCTTTAGATATTACCAAGTTAGCATTACTAGCATACTTCGCAATCAAAATCTTCTTCAGTATGAGTCTAATCACGCATCTACAGTGTTCCGTCTTTCCTTGTGCTTTTATTATGACCATAAAGCCGGTAGGATAGTTTCCTGCAGCCTGAAACCTCAATGAAAAAATTTAGTTCAGCTCTTCAAATCATCATTTTGTGATAAATCGAAGATAGTAAGTAATAAAGAAATGAATCATAAAGTTTGTTTTTTCAGTGTTTAAAAAATAACAGATCATTCTTCTGCTGTGGTGTTTTGCAAGTGCTTCAAAAAAATAATCCCGCGTAGTGTTTACAGATTGAAAGTAATCTCTCAATAAATTGAGAAGTTCGAATGCATGGTGAAAAGGAAATCATCAGTGAATTACCGTTTAGGAATTAAGCATTACAGCGGGTTCAAGGTCGATCTGAGTTAGTGTTTGCAAGTATGTGCGACAGAAAATTATTTGCACTTTCCACTTTTTCAACAGCTCAAAAAATTATTTACATTCGTGTGAATCTAGCTCAGGAAACTATAATCATTTAATATGCTGCGAATTCTATAGTTTTCATTTCAACTTTGGTTAAAATTTCTGCAGTTTGTTTTGAGAAAATCTGAAATTCTTGTTCAGTAATTTTTCATAATTTTTCATAATATGTGAGCAAAATTAAGTAACGAATTTTTAAGCTATTTAAATTATTCATAGGGAAGGATATTAAGATAAGTTTTTATGTTTTTGAAATTTTGTTGAGAATTTTGAATATGAATTTTATAATTATTCTACAAATGAAGTAGGTGTAAAAAATAAGTGAAATTATTACAGATACGTAATATGAAATTATGGTAAATGCATGGCAAATTTATGGGTAATTGTATGTTAAGTATAGTGTATGTCGAGGGAGTATTGGTTTCCTAAGCAGAGGCCTGTAATTACCTCTGTACAGTTGTTCCCTTTCCTCTTCAAGTAAGATAATGTTGGAGGCTCTCATTTTATGAAGGTGTGTAATTTTTTTACATTATTATTATTATTATTATATTTTTTATTATGGAATGTATTAGTGCAGTTCGCAAAGGCCAGTTACCTTATGCAAGGAACGGAGGCCTTTTCAAGTAACTGCTTAGGCACCCTGGGCCACCAGTGCAGAGAACATACTGGTTAGCTCAAGAGGACAGCCCTATTGATGGATATGTTTGTTTAGAAGTATTGCGAGGCTTCCAGCTTGGTAAAATCAGGAAATGTAAATGAAAGATGATAATGGTGAAACCATAAATTCTGAAAATCTTAATCCTATCATTTATGATGTTAAATTATAATTTATCAGTATGGAAATAAGTATCATAAATATTTATGTGCATTACATTTAATTATAAGTAATGATTATGTAAAAGTTTATTTTGTGATATTCTGTAATAACAAGAACCTTCCCTGAAGAATTATGATTATGTGAACTCTCAAACAAAAAGACTTTGGGACTGAAATGCTGAAAAATTCAATAGGACTATAAAAAATTAAAAATTTATTTAAAAAATTGATATTTATAAATTATACTTTACAGGACAAAAATTTTATGATTTATGTTTTTTTTTTTTTTTTTTTACATTTGCTAGTGCTTTAACTCTTTCTCTTTAAAAAGGCTTCTCTGTCGCTACGCATTTTTCTTTTTGAAGGGGGGAATATGTAAGATAAAATTATATGAATCAGAATTATAATATAACTATAAACATAAATTCTTCCTCTCTATTCTAAAATCGTAATAACTTCTCTGCATTGTGCCATTTCTAGATCACTCTATGGCCCACGCAGCTCTGATGACATAATAATTGTAAACCAAAACTTTTTTTCTTTGCCGTGCTTCCATCTTTTATAACTACGCGCTTCAGCTTTTGCTCTCTACTGTGTTAAGATGTAATTTTGCTGCCTTGCTTTCTATCTCAACAATATCAAAAATGTAAATCTTCTGTGGAAAGGCACGACTAGAGTGCCAAGTGATTGTGGCCACAAATATCAGTTGCCAATAAAAATGGAATTAAAACTGCCTTGACTGCCAAGTTCTTTAGATATTACCAAGTTAGCATTACTAGCATACTACGCAATCAAAATCTTCTTCAGTATGGGTCTAATCACGCATCTACAGTGTTCCATCTTTTCATTTGCTTTTATTATGACATATATATATATGTAAGATATAACAAAATATGAATGAATAATTGGCGGCCTCAAAATTAATTATTCTAGATTTGGTGCTCTCTCCCTAAATTCATCTGTTCTCCCAAATTCAAGATCTTTTCATGTTACATAACAAACTAAAATTAACCAATCACAGCTTAGAGTACTTTCTGCATCATACTTAGTATAAATACTCTTGGCACAACATCAACGTCATTCCTTTCGCTAGCTTTCATTCTGCAAATAACTCTGAGCTGCTTATGCTGTCCTGTCCAAAATGCTTACGTCACATATTTAAACCCAATATATATAGAACTTAACAAATTTCATTATGATTGGGTAAATGTCTACTAAGATGGTTCTATATGCATGAAAATAAAGATTGCAAATTCTTCAAGCTCAAGTGTGTTAACTGCGTCATCATAGCTTTTACCTTCAGCCACTACTGTCTTCTCAGCCATGACGAATATCAAAAGCTCTTAAAGTTCCAGTGTTTTCTTCTGCGCATTAAATTATGACATATATATATATATATATACACACTCGTACAACTTGCAGCATTTTTTTTAAATGCTTACAACATAGTAAAGGACCAGTAATTACATACTTACAACATAGTAAAAGACATCGAAATCATACTTTTCCTTTCGATGAATAGCAGCAAAAATTGTCCTATGGAAATAAATGGAAAAGAAATCATTAAATCAGATTTTAAAAATATTTCAAAAATCACACATTTTTAACATATGTTTGAATAACAGAATTGTAAACATCTTATGGACCAATGGTGCTTGCTTCAAATTTACTGAGTAACTTAAGTTAAAAAAATGCATGATTTTCCTCATACTTAGCCTTGCTCCTAACATACTGTGTGCCCTAAATCATTAGTGAGAACTCTCCTGCTAAGAGAAGCAATTAATCTCACTTTTATTAAAAATTTTGTATTCATGTTTTATATTATTTGGTGAAATTTTGTGTGTATTTTCAATTGCTATGATTGCTATTTCTCAGAAGGGTCGGTTTCAGGTTTTGTGTTGTATTCAGAATCTTGGATTATTTTTCATACTTATAGTTTATTTCTTGCCGTATTTTTGTATGTTGTATTAGTTAACTTTTTGCATAATGCTGCATTCAGGAACTTGGTTTTAGTACAGTCAAAAGTCGTTAATTCGGACACCCATAATCGGGAATGATCTATAATCCGGACCTCAAAGCAATAAACTTTCGGCATATGCGTCGCGTTGACGCTGCTCATATACATGTGCACATGCACATAATATGTTTATGCATATTATGTGCACATGCACATAATATGTTTATGCATGCGCGTTTAATGCATAATGGACGGTATAAGCTAAAATTATCTAATTATCTATTTCAGTTAATGTTGCAGATTGCATTGTTCCTTAATCTTCGAATTTATTAATTTTTGCACACTGTTACAGCAATTTTATAAAAGTAACTTGAACTTTCGATTATGTCAAACAGAATTTCTGATGCTGGAGCTCCCAAAGGATCTACAAAGCAAAAGTATGTTTCGATGTCCATTAAACAAAAAGTGGAATTGCTGCAGAAAATGGATAAAGGCATATCCTTTGTTTCTCTAACCATTCCAAAATCCGTTCATCAATTTCATGCTGCTCTGTGGCGAGAGGGGGAGAACCGCCGTGGCGCGCAATGAATTGGAAATTGATCTGTCAGCACCATCCTTATTCTTCAGGGCAGATGTTTTTATTTTATTTGGCTTATAATTCCTTACTAAATGTAGTATTTCATCTCAATGTACTCCGTCTTTGATATGATTTAAATCAAATTCCTTATCATTATAATTCGCTTCCGATAGTGAAGAAAGTGACACAGAGATTATTGAAAACGAAAAAATTTCGATTGATAAATTAGTCGGTATTCTCGACACAGCAATTATAGGACTTGAACAGCGGAACTTTGTAACTGAACAAGAAATTTTATCTGTTTATAGAATTAAAGAGAATGTATTATCACATAAAACGAAGCAATTTAAACAACTTACATTGAAAGAAATGTTTAATAAAGTAAACAAATAAATATTAAGCTTTTTTTTTTTTGTAAATTTTGATATCCTTTAGATCATAATTGTTCTTTATTTCATAAACTACGGTTTCATATTTTCAATTTTATAATTTCTGCATGCCATCTTACCAGATTTAAACTGATGATCTATAATCTGGAAAAATCGATAATCCGGAATCGAAGTCCCAACGAGTACAGATTAACGACTTTTGACTGTATTTTCAGTACTGTAGTCTGTATTCATTTATTTCTGGGATTTGTTTATTCAGATTTTTTGTAATGTAGTTTGTATTTTAAGTTTCTTTTGGTTTATATTTATGCTATCTGCCTTGATATCTTATGAACTGCCTTTATTGTTCTGCGTATGTTCACCTTGTTACAGCTCATCAATTTGTTTAGTTTACTTTGTGAGAAAAATTCAGTGGGACTTCTGTTTTAATTTTGATATCTAAGTTTGATATCATGTTAACACCTCTCACATCTTTGTAATGCTTATTCTCTCTGTCATACCAACATTAGAGTGTTATTTTCAAGCTAGACAAATTTCTCAATGCAGGTAGGTTCCTTAAGAATCATGTACTCCGGTGCTGCATTACTTGCACAATGATGAAAATATTTAAGATAGCTGAAATCTGGCAATTTATCACCTCATAATATGGATAGAGAAGATTTGATTCTGATTAAAATGAAAGGTTTAGCATAATCATAGACCCCTTCATATATTTTTTAAAAAAATTAGTTTTGGCATAATAAAGTATACATATATTGCACCTCTTCTAATACATTTCACTTACAAAATAGTTACACTTAAATTTCTATACTTTTCATATACCTAAGTACACCACATTAAACCTTAAAATTAGGAAATGAATCATTAAAAATATGTACTTTAATACAATTCATTAACAAGTAAAATAGACACATCTAATTATTTTAATATACTTTCTAAAATGTTTCAAAAGTCAATATTTTACCTGCTCAAATGATAAAGTGGTGAATCTATATTAGACGGCAAAGAATATGTTGATGCAGTTTCCAAACTCTGAATTTTGATGCCACCATCTCTGAAATTTTATTCAGTATTCATTTAAATAAAGATACTTCTCATTAAGGCAAAAAATTATTTTATGAATATAATTTGAAATTAATTAAAAGTAATTATATCGAGCAAATGCTAAACAAAAATATTAAAAAAAAAAAAAAAAAAAACTCACTCTTCAAGAAACACCAAATCCTTTTTCAATAAATTATCATGCATTTCCTTTATTTCTTGAGAAAAGTGAGAGTCAAAATGAGTATCATCGAAAGTTAGACCTATTCTCTAAAATAAAGCAGTACTTATTTAATTATACTAGAATTTCTTAAAACAGACGAGAATTTAAAATTCAAAATTTTCTGGCAACAAATTCACATGCAATAAAGCTAATGAATTATATTTTCTCTTTACACACATATATACATAAAATCATTTATTAGGAGTATATTCACATGAATATAGTTGCAATTTTACTACCTAAACAAACAAATTTTATCTCTTCCTCCCTCTTTTTTTTTTTTTAATTTTTCTTTTTTCATTAATGTAATTTCTAGATTGATGTTCTATACTACAAGGCTTTTCAAATTCAGTCAGAATCTGGGTTGGCAGTTTTACAAAATTTAGAATTTTGACCCGAAAAAGGAAAATTTTAATGTCTCACTTCTTTCGTCTTCTAATATAGATTAAGATCACAGTGTTATGATAAACATCAAAGAAAGAATGTAGAAGCAAAAACTTGAATTTCCCAATTTTTTAAATAATTAGTATTTAAAATTCCAGTTTAAAAAATATTACAAACACTCCTGTATTCATAATGTTTGTGGAAAATACTTGTATGACAGTTTTATTGGAAATGTAAAAATTATAACTTAAACACCTTTGAATGTTATATGATATAACATCCATCTTTGAAATTACATAGACTTAACTGAGATTCTCAGAATGCTTCTTTTAATAACTTTCATTGATTTGATGTTATGTAGTTTTTGATGGGTAAGAACCTGGCAAATAAGGTGATTCAGCATGAGAAGGATCTGTTCCCCATCAAAGAAATCCAAGGTTCTGAGATAAAACTGCAGCATGAGAAATGGCTCAAAAGCACTGTATTCGCAGCGTAATATGAATTATGTCATTCTGGATAATGCAGCTTCAAATTTTTTCCCCATAGAAAATGCTAATACCCTCTAACATTTCCCATTTCTTCATTAACAGGGCAGCTAGTCCGCATGTTGACAAATTTAGTGAGTCATCAGTGTGAAGTGATAATCTGATAGGATAAGTCTAACAAAGGGCAAATACAAAAAAGAGACTGAGGACAACACAATGGGGACAGTGGATTTTCAACTCAGAAATGGCAACTGTACAATCCCCTTATAGTAAATATTGTCAATTATTTACAATTATCACAGACTACAATTAAGATGATAATACTGTTCTTAAACAATGTTAGCCCACTAGCGGCCGAGCGGTAAAAACGCTGAACACTGGTAGTTGGGTCCGAAGTTCGAATCCCGCGAACGGGCTGGCCGCATGGGCGTTTCCGTGGTTTTCCCCATGTGTAACGTGTATACGAGCCAGTTTCCCTTAGAAAGTCCTCCACGAAGGCATCCCTCCCCTTAGGCAGATAGCCCTAGTGTGCTTTGCCGTATTCACAGTACACCATACTTAAACAATGTTACAATTAATTATTATACAATGCAACTAGTTATGCAATTTAGTTAAGTGCATGTTATAAAATATATTTCGCAAATTACAATTTTAACTATAGGATACACTATGGTTCAATTTAATACATTATTTATAAGAATAGGATAATTATTCTTAGTTTAGTTTATCCACAAAAGTGACAATAAACTCAATAATTTGTTACGGTGAAGTCCTCACCTCAAAAAATAAATAAATAAAATAAATAAATAAATAAAATAAAAAAAGTGAATACAAGACTGCTATATTTATAACAGTGCAATGCACATACAGATTTGTTCACTGATACAGATTTTTTCATGTGTTTTGGACTCGTGGCAGTTCTGTTAGGATGGCTTCCTTATATGGAATTCCTGCATCTTAGAACACATGAACACACAGCGATCAGAATTCTAATAGCTAGAGTTAACTATTGCAGGTTTTGGTGAATGTGACATGACTTTTCTGTGAACATTTTTGAACAGAGGACTAAACAAAAATCTTTCCCTTCAAAGTAAATTAAATATTATATATTCATGAATGATAAGTGAAATTTATAGTGAAATAATGAACAATGAAATTTGAATTCACAGTAAATATTTGATGGATTTTATTTTTCACAAACAGCTATCTTTAATTTAGCATATTTGTAAAATGACTAATTTCTCCAAGTTATTCTACTTCTAAAATGTTTTGCAACAATGCAGCAGAAAATATTTTACAATTTAATATTAATTAACATAGTAAATATGCTTTTCGTATAATTGTATATTTTAATGGTTTTTTTAAGTCTAGAGGGAAAAAAATTATCAATCTTGAAAATGTTACTAGCAAATACATAAAAATTAATGGCTTTTTAGCATGTTCAATTGTGAATTAAGATATATAATTGGTTGGTTTATTATTAGCACAAAACCTTAAAGATGCGCCAAACGAATGATGAATAAGTTGCAAATGAAAAAAAGTAACATATGTGATATATATATATATATACAATGTGAGTGTGGAAGAAATGGCAAAAATACTTTCTAAATCAAAATAAATACAAAGATGGATATTTTAAAAGTACCATTATTGCTTTCAACTTTTATTTTTAGACCATATCTGCAATTAATTTCTGGTCAGCAACAGCTTTTGTAGCCAATAATTCCAGACACAGAATTTTGTCACCACTAGCAACCTTGTTAAACATTCCATCTGGCAAACCTCAAACCACAGCTTCAAACAACTAATGGTCTTTTGATAGCAAGCAACCTGGCAGGATTATATTTTTCTCTGGCCTTTTATAATACGTAAAAAATTTGTTTAGCAGTAATTAGTTGATGCAATATTTATATTATATTAATATTTAGGATGTAATTATTTTGTTCCTTAATTTTAAAAAAAGATGGGAGGCTTGACCATTTGAACAGTTGCATGTTTGTGAGCTCTCACATTTCTACAAAATAAAGGCGGAAGGGTCGATACTTGAACATTGAATCGTGTATCAGCAGTTCTAGAAAGTTATCAAGTTTAATTTTATGATGATAATGTACATCGTTCAAAAATAATTAATAATTGATTGAATTTACCACGTGTTACAAGCAATTGACATCTGTACGAAGCCTGACTGCTGTTTTGCATTTATTTCAAATGTTTCTTCAGTAAATTTCTTTCCGAAATTCATACTCAAAGACGCAGTGATTAACGGAGATCTTATTGATAAAGTTCTTGTTGCTTTACGGCTCTTAGGATTTTAATTATTCAACTTAATTTAAACTTAATCTAAGGAGATCCCTGCAGAAAGTATACGGCCCATATAAAGAACGTATTCACCCCTCGCCTCTTCTGTAGAAGCATGGAGGTAGGAAAGTCTTACTTCCTACCTCCATGTGTAGAAGTAGGAGAGAAGAGCTGCCTTGAAGTAGGGGGTCTGTTTGAGAATTGTTAAAAAGCCCCCTCTCCGGGCTATCGACCTTGAGAGGATTCCAAGTTACAGTTGAAAGGATAATGGCGTTTCCTTAATAAGTGATAACTACCCTAGTTTTGCTATAATACTCCCACATATTATAGTACTCCTGCTGTTTGGATTATACACAAGCAAGAGAAGACTGCAAAAGGTAAAATATTTCTGTAATAGTAGCTACTATAAAAATTCTGCTGACTTATTAACTATTATAACTTATTAAGTGTGCATTAGCATATATAATTTTATTTTGTTTATTATAATTACCAGTAATATAATTATTACTTTCATTATTGTTAATATATACTAAAATTAATGAGTGCTTAATATCAGTTGGTACTGAATTTTATCGTGATTAACTGTGTTTTAATTTGCTTAACAATTTTTTTTAACAGAATTTTAATGTGTACCTGCAACTGTAATTTGCTAAGTATAAGTTACTTTTTGTCATTTCAATTTTATAATGTTACAGTGCGCTGCTGGCGGTTTTTTTTTTTTTTTTTTTTTTTTTTCTCTCTCTTTGTTAGTGTTAACCTACCTGCCATTAGCGCTAGTTCTCGCAAGCACACAAAGTGTTGTCACCTAAAACCATATCCTCAGTGGTATAAACTGCGGTTTCACTTACTTTGTGTTCCTGCATAATATTGTAATTTCAGTGCTTTCTACTGCGCTTATAATTACTCTATGTGCATTACTGTAATTTAAATATGCATCCAGAAACGCCAACCACTTCAGCGGTTCCAATTAGCTCCATATGTGCTAAACAAGACTTCCCTTCGGTAGACAGGAGCACAACAAATTCTTCTACTCCCGCCTCTAGAATAGAGGCTATCAATCTTATTTGTGACCAATTACAGTTGTTCATTAGACATTCCAAAGATTCTAAAAAACTCAAAAAACTTAATGCATCCATCCGGAAGCAAGTAACCAGCTTTGTAAATACAGTTCGCAACACAATAGCTGAACAAGAGATATATTACGCTCAGCTGCAGGGGCAAATCCAGACATCACAACAGCAGCGCGATACTTCGAATACCATTGCTCCTACTGCACCTGTTACGGAACTCCCTTCTACTACAGGAGATACACAATATCAGACAGATATAAACGAGCTTCCTTTCACTGAAGTTCGAAAGAAAAAATGCCATACAAAGATACTTGGAAAAAAGAAATCCGAACACATGTTGCTAATTAGGCCCAACGACACAGATCAAACTCCTGAGCAGGTTAGGGTCCAGCTTACTTCCAAGATAAGCGCAAGAGCCATAGGCATAATGGTTGAAGATGTTCGCCCTACCCGGGCCAAGGAATAGCTGGTGAGGTGCACTGCTAAGGAGCACATAGACATGCTTCGGAAATCAATAGAAGAAACACCTGCGCTTTCTTTAACAGTTTCTGTAAGAGTTCCCAGTGTTCGAAAAACTTCAGTGATAGTTTACAGTGTGCCAGCCTCTGCCACAGCTGATGATATAAGTGAGGCTTTTGTGAATCTGGCAACCATCAGTTACACAGTCCCACATAACACCAAGGACACCTGTACGTAAGTCTCCAGGTGATAACAATTGGATTGTAGATATTCACACCAGCAGTTTTGACCTTGCGAAAGACCACCCTCGTGTTTTCATTGGTTTTAGCTCGTGCACGTTTAGAGAATTTT